CGCGTGCGGCAGATCGTCGGCACGCTCGGGTCGGGCGGCGAGCCGGCGCGCCTGGCCGCGCTGCTGCCCGCCGGTCCGGGGGAGGAGGAGGAGGAGCCCGGCGCCGAGGAGGCGAGGCGGGAGCTGCAGCGGCACTCGATCCATCCGGTCCCGCCGTCGCTGCGGCTGCCGATCAGGGTGGTCGACGCCGGGATGGCGGGGCGCTGGGAGGCGCTGGTCGAGGCGGGGGCGCTGCCTCCGATCGCGGGCTCCGTGGCGCGGGAGCTGCTCAACGACGTCAACATGGAGTCTTTCATGTACGGGTGGGAGGCCGGGGTGACGACCGTCACGGCGAACCAGACGCTGGCGCAGCAGATCCTGAAGAGGACCGAGAGCGCCCGGGCCCAGTCGCCGGCTTACCAATCTGACGACGGGGGGAACCATGAGCCACGCCTTTACGTGCACATGGTACGAAGGTCGTTAGGGGCGGGGCAGCGGGTCAGCAGGGATGGCCGGCAGTGCGTCAATTAAAGCCGGTCGGAACTTGGTCGGTACTCGGGGGTTGTATAGGTTGGTGTCCACCGGCTGACACAATGGTGATCCACAGGAGCTTATCAAGTGGGATGTGGATGTGGGTTTGACACGTTGGCGCCTGCCGCGTTCCGCTTGCTGACGGTATTAAAGACGCCGCTCCCTCCCCGTTTGGCGAGGGCTCGGGTCTGTCGTCAATGCTGGACATCAACCCATCTGCCCCTCACCCACACCAGACACACCAGGCCGCCCAAGCAAATCCACCCCCTCACCTGCAACAATGGCTCCCTTCGCTACCATCTACGCCTACCCGGACAACCCCCGCGTGAAGCGGGTAAGTGGACACCGCCGCCAACCCCCCCACTTCCTGTTAAGCCCCTGGACGCGGGGTAGCAGCGCCCCTCCCCGGCCGTCCGCGAGACCATTGCCACTGACAGACCCCGCCGCCAACCCGCGCAGGCCCAGGTCATCGCCGCCCTGAACGGGCTGGAGCTCCACGTTCCCGGCCCGGACGAGTGGCAGTTCGGCGTGGCCAACCAGGCGCCCGAGTGGAAGGCCAAGTTCCCGCTCGGCAAGGTGCCCGCCATGGAGACGGCCGACGGGCTGCGCGTGACCGAGGGCGGCGCCATCTGTGCCCACATCGCCGGCTCGGGCCCGCTGGCCGACCAGCTGCTCGGCAAGACGGTGGCCGAGCGCTCGCTGGTCTGGCGCTGGTCGCTCTTCGCCGACTCGGAGCTCGTCGGCAGCGTCATCCCCGTCCTGATCGGCTACGTCTTCAAGCTTGCTCCCGCCAACCCCGCCGCCCACGACGCGGCGGCGGCCGGCCTCCAGCGCGCCCTCGTCGCCCTCGACGCCGAGTTCAAGGACGGCAAGGCCTTCCTGGTCGGCGACAAGCTCTCCATGGCCGACGTCATGGTAGGCGGTGCCCTCTTCTTCGCCGCCGGCTTCATGCTCGACGAGGAAATGGCCAAGGCCGCCCCCAACGTCGTCAAGTACATGGCCGGACTGAGCACCATCCCCGAGATCAAGAACGTTTTTGGGGAGTGGAAGCCCACGGCTGTCAGGATCCCGAAGGAGTAAAAAAAGAAAAAGAATAAAAAGAAAAGGACGCCGGGTGTTTAGGAGCTGGTGTGAAGGTCATCACACAAGAAAATATGGACGTGAGGGACGGTTAGACATCCATCCCGCTACGCCGGGATACAACTAGCGATACGCAGCAGACAGCCCAGGGTCAAATGACATTTGACAATACATCAGACACGGATTTGAGATTAAATGTCCTCGCGTCGGCCACCGCATGTAGCGCGACCAGTGATGTGCACTCTGGAAAATAGGGATAAGGAAGAACGAAGCCGGACATGGGGAAAGGGAAGGCGGGGTAAAAACGAAGGGAAGGGGGACAAGGAAAAAAGACCACAATAAAGATTGTGGACTTTAATGCAAGGGCGCACATTCGAGTGGCGGGCTGGGGAAAAATACGGTCGCACCCAACCGGGAAATTGCAATGGGCTGTTGGCAGTTGCGATGGTGACACTGATCCTCCCTTGCACACAGTAGCCGGGGGTGGGATGCGGGTCCCATGACGTCTGTCGCCGGCAGGAATAAAAGCGAGGGCATCCGCTGATTCGCTCTCGCACGGGAGAAGAAATGCTTGCCTTCGAGTCCTCCAGCTTTATCTCGATGCCCAATCCGCCAAGCCCAGCACCAAAGCAGGCTTCCGAGGACGTCTCGAGTAGTCGGGTTCCATTCGACATGTCGACGGATTCTGCCCGCGTGGCCGTGATTGGCGCTGGTGAGGTCTCCACTTGGGAAGCGGCCCTACCGTTACCGTTGTAGAGCATGGAAGCGTCACCCGGTGCTGACTTGAGACCGCATGGACGGGGTGCGAAAAAAAAAGGCCCGGCCGGCCTGGCCGCCATCAAGTCGCTCCAGGAGGAGGGGTTTCAGGTCACCGGCTTCGAGCGCCGCCCCGACGTGGGCGGCCTTTGGGCCTTCTCCGACGTCCCCAACTACACCTCGGCGACCAAGGACACCCGGTACCAGATGAGCAAGTTCATTGTGGGGGCGTCCCTTTTTCCTGCGAGTCGCCGAGTAGCGGTGTTCGAGGAGCTGTTTGTTGACGTTCGTGACTTGTGCAGTCGTGCTTTACGGACTTTCCGTTCCCTGATGGTATACACCCTCTCTGCCCCCACACCTCGAATGAAATTTTGATAGATCCGACGGGCTGGGACTGGGACTCTGACTCTGTCCCTTCACTCCACTTGGCAACAAGACTTCCCCAGATTCCCCATGGCGGAGGACATGGCAAGCTACTACCAGTCTTACGCCCAACACTTCGGCCTGATGGACAGGATACGGTTCGGCGCGGTCGTGAGGTCGGTCCGGCGCAGCAGCGACGATACGGCCTGGCTGCTGGACGTCGAAGGGGAGGCGGAGCCTCTGTCATTCGACAAGGTCTTGGTGGCGGCCGGCACCGAGACCGTACCCAAGCCACTCCCGGAATTTGAAGGCCGGGAGCTGTTTGAGGGCAAGGTCATCCACTCACAGGCATACAAACGGTGGGTCGCGAGATCTTGCCATGTCTGGATTTTCCAGGGCGTGTGCGCTGATATCACGGTGGGGTAACAGGCCGAAGGATTTCCAGGGTCTGAACGTCGTGGTCGTCGGGCAGGGCAACACTGCGTGCGACTGCGCTGTGGTGCGTCTTCCTTGTGTCTAGACTCCTAGCACAGAACCGCACTTGGCTCCAGTAGGGGGAAAGGCTCGTCGCCAAGGTTACTGACATGCGCGCTCTCCCCTCACCAACCCGCGCGGCCGCAGGAACTTGCCTCGCACGCTCGAGGCGTCTACCTAGCGCACCGACGGCGCGCGGTCGTGATCCCGCGCAACGTGGACGGGCAGCGCTACGACCGCTCGCTGACCTGGCGCATGGCGCGCATCAGCGTCTGGCTGCAGGCGCACATGCCCGCGGTGCACCGCCGCCTGATGTGCCTGCAGCTCTCGGGCGTCGCGCGCAAGGCGTGGGGCGGCAGCAGGGCCGGCGAGGATGCGCTGCTGGGCGTCACGCCGGCGCTGGCGACCAACATCGCGAGCCTGGTCGTCAACGACGACCTGGTGCCGCTGCTGCGCGGTGGGGGCATTACGGCCACGCGCGCGCTAAAGAGGTTCGTCGGGCCACGGGAGCTGGAGATGGAGGACGGGCGGGTTGTGCGGGATGTGGATGCCGTTATTGTGTGCACGGGTTACACCTCGTCGCTCGGGGTGTTGGCGCCGGGGGTGCTTGAGTACGACGACGACGACGAGGACGGCGACGAGTCGACCCCGTGCTCGGATGAGGAGGATTATGCAATAGGTGCAAAACAAGCGCACCCAGCGCCGAGGGTCCCGCGGCTGTACCGCAACATCTTCCCGCCGCGGTGGGCGGACTCGCTGGCCTGCCTCAACTACCTGGTCCTGATCCACGCGGCGGTGCAGCGCGAGGTGGCGGGCATGGCGGTGGCGCAGGTGTGGGCGGGCAAGGCGGCGCTGCCGCCGCGGGCCGAGATGGAGGCGCAAGCGGACGCCCAGGCGCGCGGCTACCGGGCGGCGCGGCGGCGGCGTCGCCCCCAGATCGCGCAGCCAGAGGGCCTGGTGGTGGACCCGCACTCGTGGCTCCGCTGGGTGGACGAGGCCGCCGGCTCGGGCGTGTACGCGTCGCTCGGCTGGACGTGGCGCGGCCTCCTGTTTTTCGTGCGCGAGCCCAGGCTGTGGCTGCTGGCGGCCTGGGGCGTCAACTCGCCGCACATCTACCGCTTTTTCGAGACAGGCAAGCGGAGGGCGTGGGACGGCGCCCGGGAGGCAATCCTACACGTCAACGAGCAGAGCGCGGCCGACGCGAGGCTCGGGGCAGCGGGAGCGCACGCGACGGCGGCGCCAAGTTAGGTTGGGATGTTCCCTCTTGCATCTGCCAAGGAAAGGCGGGTCTTCCCCCCTGTCTGTGACCCACAATTACCTAGTCCAACGGCTCCGGTTTTGATAAGCTGTGGTTGGTTGGGGACAGCCAGGCAGTTCGTTTGTCCGGCAGTGGCGGCGCGGCAGCGCGGCAGCGCGGCTGTACCCGCAAACGAGGCATTTCACTTTGGAGGGCAATACCGCATCTTTAGCAGACAATCTGTCTTTTTACTTTGTTGCGTACTGGCGGCGCAAGACTTACTCGTAGGCCCGCCAGGATGCCCCGAGACGCGCCGAAGGATAACGTGCGGGGGCGCCCCGCAGCCCAATTCCCCATCGGCGCTTCTCCAGGGGCATCCCAGAAGGTGATTGTGGTGTTGTGATGGAATCAACGAGCCGTTCAGAGCACACCATCTAGGCCAGCAGCCACGTAAATGGTACCTAACACTCCAGCTTTAACGTCATGCTGCCGAGTCCGCAGTCAAGCCGGCTCGAGCCACGGATCGCCCAACAGCGCAGGCAGCGACAGGCGAGTAAGCTGCGCCCGTCAGTCGGCCAAGACTACGAATTGGCCTGTACCTGCCCGCCAAAGTCTAGCGTTGCCCCTGTCCCCACCGACCCGGTTCCTTTTCCCCGCGCCCCACCGCCGACCGAGCTCTGGAAGGGGAAAGGTCCCATGGGGTGATGCCGATTATGATGCCGATTCGGAGCTGCCAATCTCGAAGGCTAAGGGAAAAAAAAGTCGTCGGTCGCCACAATGCGCCGTTACATTGAGATGGGCCCCGTCAGTGTCCAGGGGATCGGCCAAGAGCTTTTCTTTTTCTTTCTCTTGTTTTTCTTTCCGTTCGTCTGATGACGATCGTCTTGTCTCTTCTCTCCTCCCGTTTACCTTTCGGCTTGTCCGCTAGCCCATGTGTGCGTGCGTAGGCAGCTTCCACCAAGCCGGGAAACCTTGAGCCATCGTCAATCAAGCCCCCACCCTCACCGCCCGACCACGCCAGCCGCCCGTCACTCAAACACGCGTCGCGCGCCGAGGAACAACGGACAGGACACTGCCGACCGCGCCATCGCCATCATGAAGGACGACGGCGGCTCCCCAAGCCCCGGCGCCGACGTCGAGGGCAAGCCCACGGTCGGGTCCGTGCAGGACTTCGACATCGCCCGCGTCCGCCCCGACGGCACCGAGGACCTGCTCGGCAAGCACAACCAGCTGGAGCGCGGGCTGAAGAGCAGGCACATCCAGTTCTTGGCCCTGGGCGGAGCGTGAGTGGAGGCCCAACCCCCTCCGGACGGCATGCCGCGGTGGTCGTGGATGACGGTTCGGTTCTTTTTGGCACGCCGCGCGCCGACACTGACCTGCCTTCGTTGGCGCCTGCAGCATCGGGACAGGGCTCTTTGTCGGATCCGGGGGCATCCTGAGCCTCGTCGGCCCGCTACCTCTATTCCTGGCATACTGCTCCATGATGGTTCTGGTGTACTTCATCATGAACGACCTGGCCGAAATCTCGACGTACCTGCCCCTAAAGGGAATCTCCATCCCGTGAGTGTCGGCCCCTGCCACTCTCTGGCTTGCTGTAGGCAATTAATCGTCTACTGACCATGTACCACAGCTACTTTGTCGACCGCTTTGTCGATCCCTCGCTGGCTTTTGCCACGGGATACAACTACTGGTGTAGGTGACACGGCGCGTCCAGCCTTGTAGCATTTGCCGTTCCTAACCTTGTCTACCTTGTCGCTTAGATGCGTATGCTATGCTTGTTGGTGCCGAGGCGGTTGCCGGCGCCATTCTCCTGGACTACTGGCAGACCCCCGTCCCTTCCTGGGTCTGGATCACCATTATTCTATTGGTGACGCTAGGCCTCAACATTTTCGCCGTCGGCGTCTTCGGCGAGGCCGAGTTCTGGTTCGCCAGCATCAAGTTCATCACCATCATGGGCCTCATCCTCGTGTCCCTCGTCATCATCCTGGGCGGCGCGCCCAACGGCGAGCGCATCGGCTTCCTCTACTGGCACAGCCCCGGCGCCATAAAGCCGTACCTCGTCGAGGGCAGCACCGGCAACTTCCTCGCCTACTGGGCCGCCTTCGTCCAGGCTGGCTTCGCCTTCATCACCTCGCCCGAGCTGATCGCGCTCGCGTCGGGCGAGACGGTGGCCCCGCGCCGCAACATCCCAAAGGCCGCGCGGCGCTTCATCTGGCGGCTCGCCATCTTCTACGGCCTGGGCTCCCTCATGGTCGGCGTCATCACGCCGCACGACGACAAGAACCTGCTCAACAAGGAGTCCAACGCCAACGCGTCCCCCTGGGTCATCGGCATCCAGCGCGCCGGCATCGTCGGGCTCAACCACGTCATCAACGCCGCCATCCTGACCAGCGCCTGGTCCGCCGGCAACGCCTTCCTGTACTCGGGCTCGCGCGTGCTCTACTCGCTCGCCCTCAACGGCCAGGCGCCCCGCGTCTTTGCCAGGTCAACCAAGCGCGGCGTGCCCTACGCCGCCGTGCTGGCCACCTGGTCCGTCGGCCTGCTGGCGTACCTCAAGGTGAACGAGAAGAGCGGGCTCGTGTTTACGTGGCTGATGAATCTAAGGTACGTAGTTGGCCGTCGCTGCCCATTCCCCTCGCCCATTTCCATTATTCGAAGTATACTCACACAATCCATCCCGCCATCAGCACCATCTCGGGCTACATCGCCTGGATCGTCGTCCTCGTCACCTACCTGCGCTTCCGCTCGGCGCTCACCTTCCGCGGCCTGCTGCACACGCTGCCCTTCAGGGGCGCCCTGCAGCCATACGGCACCTACTTCACCCTGCTGGTGCTCGTCCTCCTGACGCTGACCAACGGCTTCGCCCTCTTCTTCCCGGGAAGGTGGGAGGTCGAGTCGTTCCTGGTCGCCTACATCACCCTCCCAATCTTCCTGGTCCTCTACCTGGGCCACAAGGCGGTGAAGCGGACGCCCTTCTTTAGGAAGACGGAGGACATCGATGTCGTCACGGGCGTGCGCGAGATGGAGGAGCTGGCCGCCTCCGACGTCGAGCCGGTGCCCAAGAACGTTTGGCAGAGGATCTGGTTCTGGATCGCCTAGACCGCAGGCTGGCAGCGTTTGGATAGTGTAGGCATTGGATTTTGCGACAATATCCAAAGTTCTTTTTTTTTTTTTTTTTTAAAGACTACAGAATAGGAATACGAACAATCCGTTATCTACAGGAGATTGGGGGGAGTTTCCGTCCGTGTCGCTGTACACACCCATGAGCTTGATCTACGTCCTGGCTGTTTTGTCGGGTATGCCCTACATGGCTGATTGGGCTGCCAAGAACAAGCCGGGGACCAAAAGGGAAGCTTTCACCTGGACTGCATCATCGACGATACAACAGCCCAGATCGCCAGTGCCGTTCAATCACCGCTCCCCATCGTGAATGTTCCAGCGCCCTCCCGCTACCATCTACATTCCTTCAGTACCTATCCACCGATCCCTGGGCCTTTTGATTGGATAAAATGCGGCCATCAGTCCCCGCCAGCCCACTCCAGTTTGACTGCATGCATGGACATTCACGCCACCCAAGCTACATACCGTACCACCTACCTGTCCGCCGACCTGCCAGGTGTTTCCCTGGCAAACTGGAAGAGACTGGAAAGTCGAATGTGTCGCTAATTGAGTTCCCACGCACTTGTCCTGTTTTCGACGACTGCAGCAGTGTAAAATATCCATGGCGGTCTTTTGCTGCTTGTGCCGCTTTGCGTTGAAATCTGCAACGTCGCACGCCGATGCCAGATCTTCTGGGACCCCTCTTCCCGATCGCGCGGCCGTACCCAGTAGGGTTGGGTGCGGCTGTCAGTCCAGGGGTTTGCAAGGCACGCCAGCACACCGGACGGTTCCCTCCTGTCGGTAGATCCAGCCATGTGGGAGAAGGGGAGAGGGGTGTGGGCCACTCCAAGGCCTGCCCTGCCGCCTTTGCTAGCGACAGCCACGACTGCCCGTGCTGCCCTGCCAGATGACGTTTTCCGTACTGTGCGAGCTAATCGAGCGACTGTCCGAGCGCGGGTTGAGACCCTGCTCAGCAGTCGGGCACACACCACCGACACCCCCCACCATGTCTGCACCCACGCGCGGGCTGGGAGATTTCGGCAAATTACAATCTTGGAGCTTGGGTCTCTAGGCACTAGGGAGCTGACGCCTGGCACACACCCCAACCAAGCCGCTGGGCCCCTCCCACCCCAGAGCTCCACAATTCTTATTCAGACGTCGTCCGTTTGCAGGCCTAAACAGGCAGGCGGTAACGTTGAAGGAAAAGGGAAAGGGAGCGTGTTGGAGGGCAAAAAAAAGAAAAGCCTATGGGCTAGGAACATTCCCGTGTGCCGTTTCGCGGGCAAACCGGTTAAAAAATTCCGCTTCCACCCAGCAAACGGGCACCATTACGTGTAGCATCGAAACCGGCCACCACCACAGGCAGCGCCCCCCTCGCCGATTTGTTGCCATCGCGACAAGCGGCGAGAAGAGTCGCCTGCCCGTGCAAGCCTGGTAGATTTGGTCAGCCCGCCCAGCTCCAAGAGGCGGCGGCCCGGAGCTGCCCGTGCAAATCTCCCGCCCAGCTTGCTTGCTTACCCCCTCAATGGGGGGCTTGCTGGGGCAGCTGGCGACGTCCGATGGCTGTTTGCTGTCTGCGTTTAGTGTAACCTCGTTTGGCCAGGACGGGAAAACAGCTCGTCTCGCGCCATGCTGCTCCGGCAAGCGCCGGTTCACACCCCTCAGGTTCACACCCCTCACTTGCCCTCTCCGATCGGAGTAAACCCTGTTTTCCCCCCTGCGTCGTCAGCTCGCTTCGGCTGCTGTTAGTAGATGGCAGCCTCCCCATCCGCCTTGGCTGAGACCCTGCCGGATCATCGCTGTTGGTCACTCACCGTACCATCACACGTCCGGGCCCATACCCGCCCCGGTCATTGGGCGGCTCTCTGCAGGAGGCGCTACTGGATCACCATGCTAGTGTTTGGCAGGGCTCACTCGGGGCCAGGCCCAGTGGCCCCTCCACCCCCCTCCCAGCCATGTTACCATGTCCCTCCGCGCGGCTCGGCACCCGCGAGGTCCGAGATGTCGGTGGGCCGTGGGCCGTGGGCAGCCGGCGTACCCAGCGGTCCGCCGGCCGGCGCCCGACAACACATCCAGAATGCCACGAGAGAAGGAAGGGGAGGCCGCAGGCGTCCATCGCAGCTGAGAGTGCCCGGCACGGCGCTGCCGTGTTGACCGGGGTTTAACAATACTTTGCGACTCTGCTCCCTTTGTGAAGGGGGCTAGACAGCTCTGGTGCTCCGTCGCCATCGCTCATCGCCGACGCCTTGCTTCTCTTTTCTTTTTTTCTTGTGCCTGCACCTGGCCGACTCTCCGCCTTCGTTGGCCACTAGCTCAGCTTCTAGAAGGCGAGCAGCCACCGCCACGGTACCACAAGCGAAGTGACACATCCCATCAGGCCTTTTGCTTGGATACCCTGTTTTCTCTTTCCTTTTTCTTCTTTGTTTGGCATGAACTATCGCCATGTAGTGGAGATGCTCTCGTAGCGGTCCGTCGCATGGGCCAACAGCGATACCATCCGGTCTGGGCGACGCTGGCCACCTTTGGGTCGTGTAGAGAAGCCATCCATTTCCAGACGACACCCCCCAGGGCGGCGCCTTCGTATCTGCTTCCGAGGAAACGATGGCGTCTCCTTTGAGGCTAGCTGGCTTGCACTCTAGTTTTGCAGTATATCAAGGGCGATGCTGCATCCGTCCTTCATCTTTTCAACTTCCCCTTTCTCCCATCAACCAAACCTCCTTTCCAACCTTGAACACCTGATACCACTCTCGGCCTCCGTCTTTCCAATCTCTCCCTTCCACGCCTCTACCCATCCTGCTCGGGTTGCCGTTCAGCACTAAACCTGGTGCCACGCCAACCTATCTACTACCACCGCACCTTTGCGACATCACGCTCCCGCCTTTCTCGCCTCCCACACTCACGAACAACATGGCATCGGTTCTTGGCGAGGTCCCGACCATCGTCGCCTTCGCGGCCAAATGCCTAACCTGTGCCTGGAACTATGGCTATGCCTTTCACAGGGCCGAAAGGGATCAGCTGGTCTACAAGGACTGCGCGAGAGCACTGGGCGACACACTTCTCTACCTGCGGATTCTTCGAACCGAGGCCCGGCACGCCCTCAATTACCGGGCGGGGTACTTCAAGAGGATCTTGGATGCAGAGCGCCGCCTTTACGCGACGACTGCGAAAGCAAACCGGAAGGTGGGAACGATCATCAAGGAGGATACCCTTATAGCCCGGCTGCGGTGGGCCAGTGGCGTCCGGCCCAATGCGGCGGCTGCCATGGCTATGATCGACGAGGCGGTTAGAGATGTCCGCGAAGAGTTTGAAGATGAGTTCGCGGGACTCGATGATATGTCGGAGGAGGATTGGGAGCGGATGAATGCCACGTCACGAGTCCTGGAGCAGACGATGGTGGCATTCAACAGCTCCAAGTAGGACTCGCTGCCAGTCCATCCCCACCACCACCACCAACCAGAGCAACGGCAGCGATGGAGATGGGAGCGACGAGGATCTCTACAGCGAACAGGAGTTCGACATGGGCCAGGAAAGCAGCAGCCTTACTTGGCATGAGCCACTGCTGGCGGGATTTTTTTTTTACTTTTTGCTTTTTTGTCTTCTTTCCCCTCTTTTCCCTCCGTTTTTTTCTCTTTATTTCTTTATCTTTTCCTTCGTCTTTTCCTCCTATAATGTTCGTCCTACCTTTTGAGATTGCTCTCCCATCACGCCGTTTTACATTTGCCTTCCGTTGGTCCCCTCTTTCCTTTTTCCTTTCCTTCCGCTCTTTCTCGTCTCTCTTTTGTACCATGTGCATTTGGATTACACGTCGGGTCGTCTTTCACGTTTGGATTCAAATGAAAATATTAGGCAGAGTGATCCCGGAAATAAAATCCAAAAACCAACTTTGCGCTTCCCAATCCCCATTCTCGTTGTTCGCATCTTCACTTGGCCAACTAGTTTGGAAATCGGCGACGGCGCATAATCCCAGCGCTGCGCAGCATGTGCGACGAAGCTGCACGGTCGCGGGGCTGGAATTGATTTTCTGGAATTGTATGCGGTCGTGCGCTGCACGCACGCGCCCCGGGGATGGACTCAGTGATGGTGTGGGCCGCTGTGTTAGCGGGGCCTTACAGGGCTTCTAGGCCGGGCGTGCAGTAATGGCGCGTTGCTGTGGGGTGTGTCAGGGCACCACCCAACGCTGTGGATTGAGGCCCATCCGGGGCGCACAGCGGGCAATGGAGCGATTGAAGCCGACAGCAACATGAATCCCAAAAAAATGGAGACGATTTGCATATGAAGGCACTGCCTGGGTTATCAAGTCAATTAAAAGGTTGGTAGGCGCCATAGAAGTGTGCTGCCTACCACGCGCGTACAAAAATAACAACAGCGGTAGCGACTGACGAAAGAAGCAGAAAGATGGCCAAGATAACCCAAGAGAAAACATCGAGGCACCGCAGAAATCCAGACAAAAACAAGCAAACCAGAGACACAACCAGAGACACGAGCGACGCCAGCCCCAGCCCACCACCGGGCCCCAGCGCCCCCAGCTCCGGAGCCCTCCGCTCTGGAGTACTCCGCTTCGAGGCGCTCCTGCCTAGCCTGATACGACCTCTCCCAGCTCTCGGCCCTCTTCCGGCGCTTTTCCTCCGACGCCCTCTTGCGCTCCTCTCGGCCTTCTTCCGCGACCCGCTCTTCCTCGGCCTCCGCCGCTGCGACCTCGGCCTCGTCCGACTTGTTCGTGGCAGCCTGTGCCGCCTGGGCCCGCGCCAAGCCCTTCCGGGACGCCGCAAGGTTCTCCCGCCACTCTCGGCGGTGCTTGAGAAATTCGTTCCCCCCCGCCTCCTGCGCGGCCCTCAAATCCCATTCCTGGCGGGAGATCTGCATTTGTCTGTCCCTCCACTGCTGATACAGCTTGTCGTACGGTCGAAGGAGGACCCTGCGGTGCGCCAAGCCGTTGCTGCAGTTATCGTATGACCCTGGCACAATGTTGGTCGCGGTGATGCCGAAACACACCAAGTCCTCGTGGCCCTCCCTGTTCTCCGGCCAGAAGATATCCATTGGGCATGGGCTGGAGAACATGGCCAGTCCGAGCTCAGTCGCCGAGACCATCAATTCCATGAACCCAGAGCGGCCGAGTTCGGTCTGCAATCCATACGGGTGTCCGTCGATGGGAGGAGACGGGTCGCAAGGTCGAATTTTGTCCATTGGGGCCAGCAGCGTGTACAGCAGCTCCCGTATGGCGGCAATGGCTGGAAGCCGGGAATCGTCGTGGACAAAGCGTGGCGGATTGACGGTTGTATCCTTTTTTTTCACTGTCCGGGGCACTGCGTAGCTGCCGCCCAGAGCTCTCCACTACCGCGTTTTTGGTTGTTTTCTATCATTAGCAGGAGGGACACACGTTTCTAGAGATGCAATCGTGTAGGGAGATACGAGGCCATTGGGCCATAGAGGCACGGGAAGTACTAACATGGTGCAGCATCATGGTGGAAATATTATCGCTGTAGTTCCTAACGTTGGAGCCCCTATGGCCGGTGCCTCCTCGTGATACCTCGGAGGCTGGAACTTTGGCGAACCGTCGGTAGAGTTGCAGCAGGTCAGGTGGTAGTAGGGTTGTCTTGGGATCACCGTCGGGTCTGATCCTCTCGCCAATGACGCGACAGATGAAGTGGCGCAGCGCCATTTCTACTTCGCCATAGTCGTGCTACTCCTCGTATTCGTTGAAAATATTCCAGTCTTCCAAATCCCCAGCGGCGTCGACGAACTTGGCAAGGTCGACGGAGCACTTTCCATAGGTGTACCTCGACAAGTCGAGGTGGTTGCTAATAAAGGTAGCCACATCATCCACGAGTGCGTTGCGAAAATGATAGATGTGCTGCTCATTGGTAGGGGTGATAGCCTCCAAGTATTGACCGAAAATGTGGCGCGTGTACTGTCCCGCTTCGCTGTCGTCGTGGAGATGCTCAAGGCTAATTCCCCAAGGCTTGCGGAGCTCGTGAATGATCCAAAGGAATCGGAGGCCCACGATCAAGGCAAAGGCAAGGACTAGGACGCCTAGGACCACCCCGACGATGGCCCCTGCGGAAAGGGCCATGACGCGGCGGGTGGGTGGGCCGCGCGAAGGAGGAGAAGCGGGCTGCGCAAGACCAGGTCCTAATGGATGGGGAACAGAAGGGACGGTGCAGTTTGTATCTTAGTGGGAGGGAAAGGCGGGGTTGGGGGGGGGGGGGGGGGGGGGG